CATGGGGGAGAGTGTCAGATGGTGGCAGACTGTGTCACGTGGGGGAGAGTCACTGTCAGATGGGGGAGTGTAAGAGGCAGACTGTCACATGGGGGAGTTTTAGATGGTGGAAGATTGTCACATGGGGGAAGAGTCAGATGGTGGCAGACTGTCACATGGGGGGAGTGTCAGATGGTGGCAGATAGTCACATGGGGGAGAGTGTCAGATGGTGGCAGACTGTGTCACGTGGGGGAGAGTCACTGTCAGATGGGGGAGTGTAAGAGGCAGACTGTCACATGGGGGAGTTTTAGATGGTGGAAGATTGTCACATGGGGGAAGAGTCAGATGGTGGCAGACTGTCACATGGGGGGAGTGTCAAATGGTGGCAGACTGTCACATAGGGGAGAGTCAGATGGTGGCAGACACATGGGGAGTGGCAGATGGTGGCAGACTGTTTCACATGGGGGGGGGTGTCAGATGGTGGCAGACTGTGTCACATGGGGGAGAGTCAGATGGTGGCAGATTGTCACATGGGGGGAGTTTTAGATGGTGGCAGATTGTCACATGGGGGGAGTTTTAGATGGTGGCAGACTGTCACATGGGGGGAGCGTCAGATGGGCGCAGACTGTCACATGGGGGAGAGTCAGATGGTGGCAGTCACATGGGGCAGTATCAGATGGTGGCAGACTGTTTCACATGGGGGAAGAGTCAGATGGTGGCAGACTGTCACATGGGGGAGAGTGTCAGATGGTGGCAGACTGTGTCACGTGGGGGAGAGTCACTGTCAGATGGGGGAGTGTAAGAGGCAGACTGTCACATGGGGGAGTTTTAGATGGTGGAAGATTGTCACATGGGGGAAGAGTCAGATGGTGGCAGACTGTCACATGGGGGGAGTGTCAGATGGTGGCAGATAGTCACATGGGGGAGAGTGTCAGATGGTGGCAGACTGTGTCACGTGGGGGAGAGTCACTGTCAGATGGGGGAGTGTAAGAGGCAGACTGTCACATGGGGGAGTTTTAGATGGTGGAAGATTGTCACATGGGGGAAGAGTCAGATGGTGGCAGACTGTCACATGGGGGGAGTGTCAAATGGTGGCAGACTGTCACATAGGGGAGAGTCAGATGGTGGCAGACACATGGGGAGTGGCAGATGGTGGCAGACTGTTTCACATGGGGGGGGGTGTCAGATGGTGGCAGACTGTGTCACATGGGGGAGAGTCAGATGGTGGCAGATTGTCACATGGGGGGAGTTTTAGATGGTGGCAGATTGTCACATGGGGGGAGTTTTAGATGGTGGCAGACTGTCACATGGGGGGAGCGTCAGATGGGCGCAGACTGTCACATGGGGGAGAGTCAGATGGTGGCAGTCACATGGGGCAGTATCAGATGGTGGCAGACTGTTTCACATGGGGGAAGAGTCAGATGGTGGCAGACTGTCACATGGGGGGAGAGTCAGATGGTGGCAGTGACATGGGGGGAGAGTCAGATGGTGGCAGACTGTCACATAGGGGAGAGTCAGATGGTGGCAGTCACATGGGGAGTGGCAGATGGTGGCAGACACATGGGGAGTGTCAGATGGTGGCAGACTGTTTCACATGGGGGGGGTGTCAGATGGTGGCAGACTGTGTCACATGGGGGAGAGTCAGATGGTGGCAGACTGTCACATGGGGGGAGTGTCAGATGGTGGCAGTGACATGGGGAGTGTCAGATGTTGGCAGACTGTCACATGGGGGGAGTTTCAGATGGTGGCAGACTGTTTCACATGGGGGAGTTTTAGATGGTGGAAGATTGTCACATTGGGGAGAGTCAGATGGTGGCAGATTGTCACATGGGGGAGACTCAGGTGGTGGCAGTCACATGGGGGGAGTGTCAGATGGTGGCAGTGACATGGGGGAGTGTCAGATGGTGGCAGACTGTCACATGGGGGGAGTTTCAGATGGTGGAAGATTGTCACATTGGGGAGAGTCAGATGGTGGCAGACTGTCACATGGGGGAGCGTAAGAGGCAGACTGTCACATGGGGGAGTTTTAGTGAGTGAGTGAGTGAGTTGGGTTTAACGCCGCTTTTAACAGTATTCCAGTTATATCGCGGCGTGTCAGCTTAATGTGGGAGGAAAGCCCGAAGTGATGCAGGTCTCAGACGTTTACCACTTCGGTGAAACCCACGAGCACGGGTATGGTGCTGACAAACCTAGAAACATAATTGGGGCGAACCAGGATTCGAACCCACAATCATAGGTTTCTGGCGTGCCCAAGGGACGCAACTCTGCACAGCGAATCGCGGCGCCTTAGACGACTGGGCCACCCGTGCCCCTGGGGAGTTTTAGATGGTGGAAGATTGTCACATGGGGGAAGAGTCAGATGGTGGCAGACTGTCACATGGGGGGAGTGTCAGATGGGCGCAGACTGTCACATGGGGGAGAGTCAGATGGTGGCAGTCAAATGGGGGAGTGTCAGATGGTGGCAGACTGTTTCACATGGGGGGAGTTTTAGATGGTGGAAGATTGTCACATGGGGGAAGAGCCAGATGGTGGCAGACTGTCACATAGGGGAGAGTCAGATGGTGGCAGACTGTCACATGGTTGCAGACTGTTTCACATGGGGGGGGGGGGGGGTGGCAGTGGTGGCAGACTGTGTCACATTGGGGAGAGTCAGATGGTGGCAGACTGTTTCACATGGGGGAGTTTTAGATGGTGGAAGATTGTCACATGGGGGAGACTCAGGTGGTGGCAGTCACATGGGGGGAGTGTCAGATGGTGGCAGTGACATGGGGGAGTGTCAGATTGTGGCAGACTGTCACATGGGGGGAGTTTCAGATGGTGGAAGATTGTCACATGGGGGAGTGTCAGATGGTGGCAGACTGTCACATGGGGGAGACTCAGGTGGTGGCAGACAGTCACATGGGGGGAGTGTCAGATGGTGGCAGTGACATGGGGGAATGTCAGATGGTGGCAGACTGTTTCACACGGGGGAGTTTTAGATGGTGGAAGATTGTCACATTGGGGAGAGTCAGATGGTGGCAGACTGTCACATGGGGGGAGCGTCAGATGGTGGCAGTGACATGGGGGAATGTCAGATGGTGGCAGACTGTCACATGGGGGGGGGGGGGGGGGGGGGGGAGTTTCAGATGGTGGCAGACTGTTTCACACGGGGGAGTTTTAGATGGTGGAAGATTGTCACATGGGGGAGAGTCAGATGGTGGCAGATTGTCACATAGGGGAGTGTCAGATGGTGGCAGACTGTTTCACATGGGGGAGTTTTAGATGGTGGCAGATTGTCACATGGGGGAGAGTCAGATGGTGTCAGATTGTCACATGGGGGAGCGTCAGATAGAGACAGACTGTCACATGGTGTGTGTGTGTGTGTGTCACATGGGGATGGGGGGGCTGTCACTTTAGTGAGACGTCAAGATCTGTTTTAGAATTCCATTAGTCACACTGGATCATTCGAACCCCCATGGGACTTTTGTACCATTGATGTTACTCAGGAACATCTGGGTTAGAATTGGGTGTTCAACAACCCATGCTTGTCGTAAGAGGTGACTAATGAGACCAGGTGGCCATACTGACTGACTCGGTTGATGCATGTCATCATATCCCAATTGTGTAGATCGATGGTCATGATTGTCTGATCTGCACTCGATTCCTTACAGCAAGTTTGGTTTAACGCCGCTTTGAACAGTATTCCAGTTATATCACAGTGCATCATCTTCATGTGGGAGGAAAGCTAGAAATGATACAGGTCTCAGAGCACCCACGAGCACAAGTCAGGTGGATTATTCACAGACTGCCATCATATAGCTGCAAAACCGCCGAGTGTAGCATTACATAACTAACATCTTGTTGAAACCACAAGCTTGTTGACATGTTGACAGTCCAGGGATCATAGTCAGGGCTTAGAAATAACTCATTAAAGAACAACAACAAAGGGTGAAATCTTGGCATAACTTTTAATGATACAAATGAGAAGATGGTCACAAGCCTAAAATGCAGCACAATGGGGACTTGTGGGTCTATGCAACATGCAAGTCTACCGGGGCAATGTATACCTACTTACATATGTACAAATACACACTATTTACAAACTATGTACATATCATAAATCCTAAGTCTGCTGTACACGATTTTAGGGGAACTCAAGAAAAAAGAAATTTCCACTGTGATCTAGAACATGCTAGGCAAAAGTATGCATGAATGTTGACAAACTCACGCCCAACAGACTTAATTGCTTGTTTATGGACAAGTACTACTGTTTCTTAGACTATTTGCTCTGTTAAAACTATTTTGTCTATATCAAATCATTCTTAGAGGTGCAGGTCTCAAGACATTTACATTTACAACTTTGATGAAACCCAGCAGCACGGGTATGGTGCTGACAAACCTAGAAACATAATTGGAGCAAATCAGAATTTGAATCCACAATCATAGGGTTCTGGCTTGCCAAACGAGCGCAACCCTGCACAGCAAATCGCGGCGCCTAAGAGGACTGGGCCACCCGTGCCCTGACTGTAAGATTGACTAACAACCATCCTGCACACTGCTGGTAGTCACACCTTGCATGCCCCCTTTTCAACAAGAAATTCCATTAACAAGTAAGAGGGGCCTTCAAAAAGTTTTGCAACTTGGGCATTTGTGTTTACACAAACAATGTCAACTTGTGGCAGGTGTGACACTAGTCATAACACCAGATTAACATGTGTCATAAGAAGTTCCAGACACAACAATTAGTTAGAAGTGATGGCTTCATTCGCCTCAGGGTGGTCTCAAACATGAACAATGCGCTGTAATTAAGTTCCTTACCAAGGAGGGATGCAAAGCAAAAGAAATCCATATGTGAATTATGTGAATGTGGATTCGAACAGTTAAATCACCCATCCTACAGCCCACACTTGGCCCCCAGTGACTATTTCCTGTTCCGGCAAATGAAATCTGCCCTACGTGGAAGACGCTTCCAGGATGACAAGGACACAAAGGCTGCCACAGAGGCGTGGTTAGAGGGCCAATCTGCGGATGTCTATAAAAGGTGTATTAAAAGCTTGAAGGACAAATGGAATAAGTATTGAGGTGAATGGAGGTTATATGGAAAATAAAAGTGCAAAAGATATTCTGCGACTTGGTCTTATATTGAAGTTGCAAAACTTATTGACGCCCCTCGTAAGTAAGTAAAATCATCTCAAGAGTTCATAATGCATTGAATAGTTGTTTCTGGACATTATATTTAAGTACACAAGTACACGAGAAAACATGGGACCTTTCTGTTATGTCCTCACCTTGATTTAACAGAGGTCTTAAAAATACACAGCATAACACAACGGATCAAGGTCAATCGACAGGGACCCAACCGGTGTTACCACAAGATCACAGGTTAATCAAACCCAACATAACCACCTCAAAAGACCTCAATTATTTAAAAGGCCTCAATTATTTAAAAGGCAAATTAAAATACTTCATTTTGGCACATAGGGAAGAATTCACAGGGCTCGCTAGATGTAGTCTCTATTCTACTCAGTAGGCCCACAACAGAACTGATACGAAGTGCATAGAAACATGTGTCACAAAAGTCCTTATACACAATGTGTATTAATTAAAGAGACTGGTCATCAATTAAAGAGGACAGTAGTGATTGGTTAACTCATAGACACTGAATTACCATAGAGGGGGTGAGGTGAAATAGGGTTTAATGTTGTGTTCAAGATTATTGCACTCATATGGCAAGGTGCATGCATGTGCATGTCTGCTTGCACTAGTCCGGACTACTGCCAGTTTTATAGTGCTAGCCCCTTGAGATACCATGCCGCAGTTAAACATGGATATCCCACCAAGACACAGCATAAAGTCTCCAGCCAACCAGTTCAAGTTTTATCCCAAACAGGTTGGATAACAAGTACCATATTTCAACGTCTTTAGGTATGAGGTGCAAGGATTGAACTAGCGACATTCCATTCTCCAGGCTGACTCACAAGGGCGCCACACTCAGCAATATTCCAGCTATATGACGGCGGTCTGTAAATAATCAAGTCTGGACCAGACAGTCCAGTGATTGACAGCATGAGCATCGATCCACGCATTTGGGATCGATGACATGCATCAACCAAGTCAGCGAGCCTGACCATCCGATCCCGTTAGTCGCCTTTAACGACAAGCATAGTCGCCTTTTACGGCATGGAAAATACAAGAAATATCAATACTCATGATCTATCCATTTCAGCTCTCCTCAAATCATACCAATGTTTTCTCGACTTCCCTCACGTGTGTCAGTGAAGTATTCCATCACACATCCACCTCTGTAACCAATGACCAGTCTGATGCTGTTCCTAACACCTAGTATCTTAAATACTTGGTTTATGAATCAAAATCATAACCAAAGTGATTCCTGAAAGGAATTTTCAATAGGGGAAAATATAGCAACTGTGATAAAATTGGCTCTTAATGACAAGTCAAAGAATGACTTACTGCCCGGAAGTAATTAACACATTTGGTAGTAACCAAAAAAGAAAAGAATAAAGAAAGAAAGAAATGAAAAAAAAAAAAAAAAAAAAACCCATTAAAATTGACAAATATTTTTTGTGACATATTATTGGGTTTGCAGATCCGTCACACAGAGCAATTAAAAATATAACTACTAATATCATTGACGTCTTCTTTCAGCAAACATATACATAAAGATTGAGCACTTGAACACAGGTCATCAGTAGCAAAAATACCTTTGAACTAGCGAAATATGAAATAACCATCAATACCTATGGCACTTCGAGTCATTATCAAAGTCAATGAACACAACCCAGCCCGACTCAGCTGTATGGGGACTGTGAACACAGATAGCAACACCAGCTTATCGTCCTTGTCTGGACATGAGACAATCATAGAACACATTTGAAACAAAATATTCGAAGATGTATGCAGTGAGGTGATTAGAATGTACCTTAACAAGCTGTAGTACTGAGCCTTCTTCTCATTTAGTGTAGAGGACTATTATCAATCATCATGACCAGCTCTCAGACAAAAGTATGACTGGAAAATATCCAAACATACCGTATTTGATGAAATAAGCACTGTTCCATTAAGTACCCATCTTAAAAATATAATTCAGTTAATTAGATAACAGATTCATGTGTGAAATTTTAATCATGATTTGACATTCTACAAATTAAAAACAAATTGAACTTGGGGTGTGAAGCGTTTGTCGTCAGATTTGAAGACCATTTGTTGATGTTGAGGCTCTACATACATCTTATATCAATGTTAATTATGCAATACTGTTTCACTGTGAGGAGCTTGAAATGCTGAGATCGGTAACATGTCAGATGCCCTGCCAACGGGGAAGATACTTTCCACGTGTACATCGCTGTAGCAGGTACAAGGGAATGTACCTAAACATGAACCAATCAAATTCAAGTATGTTTCATGAAAGAAGATGGGAGTACTTAACCTCGTTTAAACAATGCCAGGATAAAACCTTGGACACCTCTTTGACGTGGACGCTTACTACATCAAATATGATAGAAACTTGACAATGACCCCCACCCCCAACCCCAGAATAAATATAAAAAATGAAATGTAATGTGATTTCCTATAACTGTCAATGTATCAGATGAGATTGCTCAATATTAATTAGTTATTGCAACCTCTAACTTAAGTTGCTTTATCCAAATTTATACTTCAACTAGATCAATTATTAACATAGCACGTAAAATGTGTTAGCTTTGTTGGACTGTAAGCTGGCCACATATAGACTGGAGGGAGAAGTTTCGGATTTAACAAATATCCCATCACACTGGTCCCTTCCTACTCACAAGTGATTGTCTGAACACTATCAAAAATATAACACTACCTCAGCCCCATTCCACAAAGCGATCTAAGTGCTATGACCATCGTAACTCCACTTCTTAAACATAAACTTGCGAGTCACAGCTCTACGATTGCTTTGTCGAACAGTGCCCAGATCTAAGAAGACTTTTCAGATCTTTATCCAACATCACTTAATACACACATGCACCAGTTACAACACTGACTTCTATCTTTAAAATCATATTCACTGAAAACCTGAGAAAGCAAAGATCTATTTTCATTTGGATCTTTCAGATCAGGTGAGCTAGCAAGACAATAACAAAGGAACATTTCTGACATCCTCCCTACTGCCGCTGTAACATAGACGAACAAGGTGATTAGCCTAGACAGGACAACCTGGAGCTACGAAGGTCCAGCTAACCTGAGTAACGAGACTGGAAATCAACTGCCTGCATAAAAAAAGAAGAAGAAGAATGTGCTATCAAGTATGTCTCTCATTAAATTTGTTCCCCACTAAACTCTAGCAACTCAATGCTATACCAATGGGCACGTAAATCCTGTCCATACATGACTCATAAAAACCATTAAACATTAATATCTACTTGACAGATAACCGAACAATATTTCCTCAGAATCCAGGTTGATCAGCTCTAAACTGCTCAACTTCCGTTAGGGATATAGAATTGTGTAAACCTTTCACATCACAAGCAATCAGTTTCAAGCAAGAATGAAATGATCCACTGATAAATACACCATACTAACCTAACAATGGGATAAACTATCTGCTTCATTTTAAATCTATCGATGCTTCATAATATCATTGTAATTATCTGGAAGTCTTCAAGTTTGTCCCTATCAAAATTTTGGCTTCATGAAGTCTTATTTTCACCATCTGATATTGTTGTGGCGTTTTGGAGAACATAGTGTTTACTGTTTAGGGATTCAAACACAGATGAAGCTGTTATGGGGTACACACTTAGGTAATTCAAAGGTACCTTTCCAAGGAAATTTTCCACAATGATGCATTTTTAAAATACTGTAGAAACTGGTATTGAGCTGAAAATATTATTACATATGATTCCCCTGTAATTAGGTCAACTAGTATAGTGAATGTCGACACGAAAAGGCAAAGAAATGATACGCCCATCATGTGTAATAAAATGTAGTTTCACTCTAACTTGTGAAATCAAAACAATTCAACAAACCTTTCCTTGCCTACTATTTAACATGAGACAGATATTGAAATTTAAAAATGAAAAGCAACTTGTAATCAGTAGAACTGGGCAATGTGGAGACTTTTGACATTATGAAATAACACTGCTGAAAGGGGAGATAACTCTTGCTGAGAAAAGCGTATCTCAACCATACTGAATATGGCACAAATTTTAAAAACTTTTACTCTTGAAGCATTGATGGAGAATTATATAATTATAATTATATATATATATATATATTTCATTTTCTTCAAACCTTAATATAACAAAATTTTCACTAACAAATATTCAAAAAATATATTCATATAAAACTAGTAATTCTGGACAATTTAAGTACAATTCCTTTCAAAATTGAGAAATTATTTAATTTCCATATATAAGGTAGTATCTATAATTTTGGAACATTCAGAGATGTTAGTCAATGTTTTGGAGGATCAACTCAGCTGCTCAGTGAGTCAAGCCTTGGTGTATGCCTTGTACAGTATTACAGTTGTACCACATGAATCTTTGACGGAGGAGGAAAGCCTGAAGTGATGCAGATCTTACGATGTTTACCAGTTTGGCGGAACCCATGAGGTATGATGCTGACAAGCCTAGGAACATAATCAGGATTCCAACCCACGATCATGTTCCCGGCACATCAAGGGAACAGAACTTGAACTGAAGCACCGCGAACTGAAGCTCAGACAACCGGGCCCTGCATGCACCCCCCTCAGCTGCCCAGTTAAGAATCTTAATAATATGATCACATCCCTGAAGAACAAAACCTGAGGTGAACAGATTACATTTTATACTTATAACTAGGCATGGTCATATTCCAAACACACATTAAACTGCATCCAATAGCATGGCCTAACACTCAACTTCATTGTTCCCAGCCTAACAATTTTCTCCGACTTGGGAATGCATACCTCTGGGACAACAGGTATCCTGGATATTAGGGTTTATTTCAAAACCTAATTATCAAATATGCTGCATATTTTTGCAATTTATATAAATATGTAATTGAAAACTAGGAAAGACCTAACATGTATTTTGGAACCAATTTCCTACATAGCGTCAGACCTGAATGTTGTTACTTATGATTAACAATAGCTATTCAAGCATGCTTGTTTCACTGACCATGATAACGTTACTTGACAAATGAAGGGGGAAAATACCCCATCATCAAAAGATAAGATGAAAATTATTTAGAGAGTATTAGAATATCATGACATCAGAATAAATTAATGTTAGCTGGAAACTAAGTACCTGTTAATTTATTTAATAATATCTTCTATAAAAATTTATTAAAAAGAAAGAAAAGAAGCTATGTTCCAGCTTGATGAGAAGGTCATTACATGAGCTGGTGTTACTGGGCTGCTGCCTTTAAGTGAGTTTTTAACAATGACATAGATTCAACTTTTTTTTCTATTATGGGTTCTGAAGCCGCCTGGTCGACGATGCTGAACACAAACTGGAGGCATCCCACTTTGATGTAGCTCCCATGATGCAACAGGGCCGTGCCCTCCCAGCCCGCACCACTCCCTCCAATGAGACTTGAGCTGCTCACTCGACAGTTGCAAGGACGTGGTAGCTGAAACAGAGAGATATAACAAAATGAAACACAGAAAAATTTCAAAATAGCAAAAGGCACCAGTTTAGCTAATGAGCAATACATATCCCAAGTTTTGTTTTAATATGTTGAACGGTTTTCAAGATATGGCCCAGAAGTGAGATCTAATAAATAGCCTATCACAAATGATCTCCACATGATGTGATAAAGTCTTCAATCTATCAAAGTTGCAAATACAAATTTTAAGCAAATTCAAATTTGATGTCCATATCAAAATACTAAATCTTTTACTCTCAAATTGTTTATTGTTTAATACCACACTCAGCAATATCCAAGCTTTATGACGACAACCTGAAAAGAATCGAGTCTGGGCTAGACAATTCAGTAATCGATATTGTAAGCAACGATCCATATGATGAAATACAACCATCACGTCACGGAGTCTGACAAACCAATCCAATCAGTCACCTCTTACAACCAGCATAGGTTGCTGGGGACCTATTCTAACCCAGAATCGACACAGGGCTAATCTCAAATCGACCAAAAGAAGATCAGGCATGGTTAGAAAGATCACACATGCAGAAGTGCTTCAACATTCACTGTCAAACTCACATCATGAGCTTTAGCTGTCATGGTGTGTTTTTCTAGTTTCTCGGGATCGGAATCAGATCTCCGCCTAGCCTTGCTGTTGATCTCCCTCACAGCAGCCACGATCGGGGACGGCTGTGGGGTGGTGGCTGGCTTGTCGGAGAAGTCGCACGAGTACAGCACATTGTCAACTGTTGTTCCATGCTCACTGTAGTTCAGCAGCTCATAGTGACGGGTCATCTGCAGGAGGGACACAGGGTAATTAAGACAAATTGGAAAATCTTAACATCTACTTAAACACAGCTGTGACGTTATACTTTTGTTTGAGTGCTCCATTACTTTTAGGGAATGGAGAGTTGATGGTGTTCTCTGCCGGTGCTGCACGTGCTCTGTCGCGAGCTGATCTTTACACTCCATGTTCTATTGCTCTTTAGAATGTTTTGTCAAATCGTAAGAGTAGAGAAGTGTCTTAAGAAGGGGCATATCCTCGTAACTCCTTAAAAATAATGGTCCTCGGAAAGTTACTCGGACATTTCCTTCTACATCATGGTAGGTCAGTATTCCAATTGTGGAGATCAAACGAATGCAACATCACTACCCCAGTATAGAGATAAATTAACAAAAAGCAAAATTGATAACTGAAATTATGATCAATTACCACAATATTTGATTAAACATACAAATGAAGTAAAATATTTCCAAAAAATATACCTCATCATAAAAAATACAGGCGTGTTTAGCAGAGACGAAGTTGCAGCTTCCGAATTGGCTAAGGGACACATCCATGTCTGCACCTGAAACAGTCATAGTCGAGCATTAAAGACATTCGGAAGTCTTAAACAACATATCAACTCAAGTTCACAAGTTCACAAGGTTTAAATGCATATTAACACTACCTTACTCAAGAAACATATATCATATGACAGCCAATAATACTATTACAGCCCTAGTAGGAGCCAGTTGGGTTTTACACTGTTCTGGGTTAGGGCTTTATTTCACAACATCACAAACCAAGAAAGGGATAATGAGTGAATGAGTTTGGTTTAACGCCGCTTTTAACAGTATTAGAGTTATATCGCGGCGTGTCAGCTTAATGTGGGAGGGAAGCCCGAAGTGATGCAGGTCTCACACATTAACCACTTCGGTGAAACCCACAAGCACGGGTATGGTGCTGACAAACCTAGAAACATAATCGGGGCGAACCGGGATTCGAACCCACAATCATAGGTTTCTGGCGTGCCCAAGGGACGCAACTCTGCACAGCGAATCGCGGCGCCTTAGACGACTGGGCCACCCGTGCCCCAGAAAGGGATAATGAAAGAACTTCCCAACTGATCTCATTTTTATAACGTTTGATTTTCTTTTCCTCAAGACCTATCTGTGGACCCTGACTGTGGATAAGATAGTTTACCTGTGCCGATACTGAGTGTTCTGTAGGGCATCGGAACTGCCTGCCCCTTTCCTGTGAGCGGACAGAGCACAGCCCGAGCTCGCACATCGCTGGACCCTGTAACATATATCAGTTTATAACAACACATCAATAACGACAACCTTATTTCTTGGATTGGTCAAGTCAGTCCAGATACCTTTTCTTGAGCCATTGAGTATTTAGTTTTCTTTGGGTACTCAACACATTTTGACTCCCTTTGTGAAAATAATTCTACTTCTATGCTGTTTCCAGTAACTTCTAATTAGAATATGTTCATATGATAACCCAAGTGAGTCACCTGTCGCATAACCTCACAACAGTGTTACCATGGTTACATGGCTAAGTTACAATTTAGCATACACAGAGTAGGTGTGAAATTTTGCCTAGCCAGACAGGCCATCTACTTTGTTTCAGCAAGTCTTTTGTAATTTATACTGGACACAGGCCAACAGGCCAGCAGTTAAATCGATCCCTGCAAGAAGCAAGATGTTGCACACCTGTGCATTATTCACTGCAGTAGAGTTCTACTCTACGTGATACCTGCATTCAGTCAATAAGAAAAGGCCTAAAAAGACAAACTGACAAAGGTACTATTGGCGTATGAAATATCTTCATGTGTATGTGTTGAAACGATACAGCAAGGTCACGATATGCATCAGGATACATAGGTCATGATAAAATATGTATTGTGATACGCATGTTTACATCAAATCACTTGGAAACTTTGTACTATGAATATTTCAGGGCAGGTTCAAAAGGAAAAGCTAGCTGTAGACACATGTTCCTAGCGTCTATTTTTAGTACTGAACTTGAAACACTAATACCAATACATTTTGCGATATTTGACTGACAAAAAAAGCTGAAGTCCGTAAATGAGCAGTAAGTAATGTATTTTAGCAATATACCCCACTCTGACACAGTATACTCTGAGCCGACCAGTCCTTGTTTTAGCTCCTTAATGCCTAGCACCAGATAGGGTAACAAGTACCATTTTTTAACATCTTTTGGTATGATGTGGCAGAGGATCAAATCCCGGACCTTCCGCTCTACCACTAGACTATGCAGGCGGTCTCATCAATACAGAAAAAAAACATATCGTATCATGATGCATGATGTATCTTTCACCTTTAGTATGTGTAATACTGTATGCAAGCAACTCAACATTAATTGGGTTATGGTGATTTAGTTTCTAATAAATAATAATAAGGGCCCCACTTTGTCACTTTTTAAAAAAGTGCCCAGAGCTCTTATCATGGCGAATATGGTAGTGCCATAGAAAGTTCAATATGCCACTAATTAAAACAAAGGTGCTATGCCTACTGTTGTGGAGGAAGTTACCTGGTTGAGACAGAAGGCCATTCAGAAGACTCTTCTTGTTCGGTGGTGACTGGGACTTGTTTGAGGACGACATCAGCTGTTGCAACCGTTGCCATGCAAGGATTTGGATTAGTTTCTCGTCAATCTTGTTCAACTCACAATCTGAAAAGAGGAAAGGATAATGCAGGGCTCGAACAAGGAACTTGATTTAGCCTGACCATATGAGTTAGTTATGGCATCCTGTTTGTTGTAGTTTCGCCTGGTAATTCTATATCCTTGTATACAAATATTGTACACATAAAGGCCACATATACAGCATCATTAGACCCACTCTGCTCCCTGTCTTACCTTGATTTCCTTCTATTAGCTGCTGGAGAGTAGAGTTGACATTGATGATTGTTGGTAGTGAGCTCAGATTACTTGAGTTACTCCCCTTTCCCTGAGATATTGCCACATTGCTGCTGCCGGAAGATTTCACTCCTGTAAGTGGGGGTTGAAATAGTCATTCAAATACAGACATGGCCACTTGACTGAGGACAACTACGGTCTCTACACTCCATAGAACATGATTCATAACACTTGTCTACACCATTCTTATCATCTAATTGCTGCAATCATTGTAAGGCCATTTCTTTTCAATCTAATGAAAATCAGACCTTAGCTCTCGCTACCGCTCAACAAAGATCTGAGGACATCCCATTAGGGGTCACGACCTTTCATCAGACCAATCAGAAAGTCGCTTACCAAATTATGAAAGTGACAGTTGGAATGTGATTTCTGATCATCCAACCTCGAAAACATTAACACAGGGTATTCCGAACTATGCCTTCTGATTGGTCATTCCATTGGTCGGTCAAATTCGCGCAAGGTCGGTTTGACGTGATCCGTAATGGGATGTCCTCAGAGCTTTGTTTAGCGGTAGCGAGAACTAAGATCTGATATTAATGAGATTGATTTCTTTTTAACAAATTTCTATCCCCAAAATTCAGGTCGGTAGGGTAAAAAAATCCAATTTCAAATATAGTTTTAGGTTTGAATTAAAAGTGTGGGTGGGAGAAATAAGGAGAGAAACAAGATTGGAGTTACCTCCCTTCTGTTACAGACACAGATCTTTTGCAATTCCCTGTGTTTTGAACATGTTGAATGAATGTTTACGTTTTAATATAAATCTTCAACAGGTTTTTATTATATTATTTCAGTTAATTTATTTAAATTGAAAGTGACAGTAAATGAGTTTGTTTCTTAAACATTTAACTTATTTATGGAATGCAGAATACTGTTTTCACATTTAAGGTAGTTTTTCTCTTTGTCTGAAAACAGCAATTCAAGCAGTGTGTATTTTCACTGCTAATCTCAAGATAGTGAGTATGGTTTTACACTATTTTTGGCAACATTTCAGCAATGACATGGCAGTGGACATCAGAAATGGGTTTCACAGATTGTACCCATGTGGGGAATTGAACCCGGCCCCTTGGATGAGACAAACTGATGCTATAATCACTAGGTTAAACAAACAATTAATTAAATTAATATGTCAGTTGAAATAATGTTTGAAAGATTCAAAGGGTTCAAAGTTCATCCACAACACAAGATTAAAAAGAAGTGCAGTAATTACTAGGGCTGTTACGATTCACTCGCGTATTCGGTGAATCAAACCATATCCATTCATGAATGTAATTTGTTATTTACATGTACATTTACATAAAAATATCCATAAGAACATATAATATGCATAGATTTCTTCAAAAGACAACACTCTATACTATTTAATTTGACAGTATGGTGGTCACTGGTCATTGTCGCATTTGACCAGATACTAGTACCTGGATAAGTGCAGTATATAAATGTATTAATAATTAACAAACCATGTCAAATAATTTATGTTGTTATTGCTTCACTGAATAAAACAAATAATACATAAGCTGCTGACTTGTTATTGTATTCGTGATTTAATATTCATAATTGTTACCCTATATTCATGATACGAATCATATTCGCCTCATGGTGTATTCGTTAAACAATCCCCTATCTTGTCCTACCTGAGGGTGAAGCAGATACTGTGATGACTTTAGGAGTGGAAGTAGGACCTGAGCCAGTGGATGAGGGTTTCCCCCCGGGGGTGGCAATCTTCACAGCCGGCTGCATGGTGACACGTGGGGAGAGAATTGAGGTAGGGTTACTGCCACTCACATTCTTGGCTGCCATGTTTGCTGGTAGCACAACCTTTCCCACTTGACTGGAATTGGGCAACACTTTTGTCACTTTATTAATAGCACTGATCAAAATATTTTTCCCTTGTGTATTTGTCACTCCACCGGAACCCTGTTTTTCCCCACAGGGCCATGTGACTTTGACCACATTGGGAGAAGCTGAGTCTGCACTATTACTTCTTGTCCGTATCACAACAGCATCTGGCTTCGTTTTCTGAACATCCATGTACTCCATCTCTCCGTTCATGGCACTACTGCTGGTTGCTGCAGGGCTTCCATGGAGGAGAGATATTGCTGCTCCCTTGCCCATCTCAAAGGGGCCGTTGGGTAATGTCTCCTGTGGACTGGTCAAGCCAGATCCATTCAAGTTGCTAGTCCTATCACAGTCGTTGCTATCCTTGAATGTATGTGAGGGTTGGGCATCTCCAGCTGCCAGGCTACACTGAGCATTGTCCGTCTCTCGATGCATCACCGGAGCCACTGACGCTGTCGGCTTACCGTGTTCACAGCGACCAGAGTCTGATTTAGCACTGTCAGATGATTTTTGCAATTGTTTCTGAGCGAGAAATTTGGCAATGCTTGTTTGAAGAGACACAACAGCTGTCAGCCACTGAAATGAATTAAAATAAAAAGTACACATTTTGCTGATACAGGCATATAAAACAAGAAAAAAAACGTCAATACCAGAGAAAAAACAGTCTCCATTATCCGCCAAAATAGCTTCCATTTGGCGCAAAAGGCAAAATAGTGGTGAAAATTCTCTGAATGGATGACTGAAAATCAATGACGACTCTGGATGTCTACACAAATTTGGTTTAGTTTGATCTGGTTTTGCTTTTTTCTTTGGGGGGGGGGAAGGAGAAAGAGGGAGGAGAAAGAGGGAGGGGTAGGGGAGGGAGGGGTAGAGGGAAAAGGGGGAGAAGGAAAAGAGCGAGAAGAGAAAGATAGGGACTCTTGTGAGTAAGGATTTAAGCCGCTTTAACCATGAGGCTACCAGAACGCCCCGGGGTTCTTTAGAAGTTCCAGCCAAGAAATACAACAAATCCCACATAACATTCACAAATTGTACACATTCTAAAATGTTTCTATCATCATGATGATGGTCCAGATCACTTTGCTTTATAATGTTCACCAGTGACACCAGCATTAGGTAAGATACAGTAAAGCCAAGTCACCTCCTCCTGTTCCTCAAGCGTTGCCTCTGATGATGATGATGCAGCCTGGCTGGGAGATTCCACGCTGCTGAGTGTTGCTGTAGCTGCCCTTGGAAGTAATGGGGGAGGATTGTTGTAGTGATCTTTTATTGCTTGCGGTATCTGTCAACAATCAATTAATTAGATATCTCAAAATTCCAGGCAGTATCATCCAAGGGAGATAACTCAAACTGACCACAAATCCAACACTGCAAACTTACCTCTGATGTTGTTTTCACCTTTTACAGATGGAATTATGTAGTTATTGTGCAGGATGCACTTGTTAAGGGAAAGTCAATACACATTTGTTTATAGTTTCAATTAGCTAACCTCAACTATATTGTTTGTTTATTAACCCTGCATATATCACAAGTCTTGACAAACAAGCCAGTGGAGCGACACCCCACATCATCAGTTACATGCAAATTAAGTGACACCCCACATCATCAGTTACATGCAAATTAAATTACAGAGCCTAACTACCGATTCATTTAGTCCCCTTGTGTGACAGTTATTGAGGACCCATTCTAACCCTGAATCTCCACACCTTGAATTCACCCAAGACAGTCCTTATGAAAGGAGCAAAGATCTACTGGAAATAATGAGGAAGAACGGATGTGACTGATTGTGGTAGAGAAAATGGACTTATAATGATCAGAAGATGGATCTATAGTGTTAAGAAAATGGATTTAAATAACCTAAGATTTATAAACAGTACACTAATGTACAGTCAAGTCCTGTTTCTCCGACATTGTTGGTTGCATATGATTATGTCGGATTAACGAGTATGTCGGATAAACGAAATTAGGTAGTATAAACGTCAAATTGGACAACTACACAATAGATAACGATACGAACAAGTGGGAAAATGAAATATTCATATTGTTGTGTTACATTGTCAGCGGAATGTTTTCTAATCATGCAACCACTAAAGTGTAACTACTGTTACGGACTGTATGACTGATTCAAAATTGATTGAATTTTAAAGCATAATCTGGAATGGAAGTTGCTAATTTGAAATTAGTGCTGCAATGCTTAAGAAAGTGGCTAATGTCGACTTCCGGTTAGTAATTTCATTGGTCAGTCAAAGTTTGCGAAAGGTCGTTCTGACATGACCTGTAATGGGATGTCCTCAGCGGTAGCGAGAACTTGTATCCGTTTTTAATGAGATTGAGGTAATCTAGGCATGTGATTAATCCTGTTTTGTTTATTTAAAGTTGTAACAGTTTATTGTCAAGCAAGTTTATCTCTGCAGCCGTTGAAATATGCATCTACTCGCCGACTCGTCTCGCATCAAAACACGGGGCTGTGTACTCACGGGCAGATGACCACGGAGTACGCTGATCACTGTTTCAGATTAACGAGACTGATTAATGAGTGGTTCAGCAATTCGTTGCAAATTAGGTGTGACGGGGTCAGAGTGCGAGACTGTCGGATTAACGGGTCTATATAGCACTGATTAAATCGGTTCCCATCATTTGTGTCGGATAAAGCCGATTGTTGGATTAAAGAGACTTAACTGTATATGGGGGCACTATTTGGGCTATTTTCACTATTGCGATAGTATTGCAATAGTACCCCACACTATAGCAATAGTTTTGTGATGGTAACAATTGCAATAGTATTGCGATAGAGATAATCAAATTTAAGGCTTGAAAATTCTTTTAATCAATGTAACAGAAATGAATAAAGTTTTTATTTTAATCAATGTAACAGAAATGAATAAAGTTTTTATTTCTTGTTTTGCTTCAACAGTCATTCAACACATTGTAACACTCCTACTAAGGTACCTACAGTTATGGTCTTCCTTGATGGGAGTCTTCTCTTGAACCTGAACGGAGGATGCTGGCGATGTGCTTTGTGTAGGAAGTTGACCTTGACGGCATGCTGGTCCACATGGCCCGCTGACTGGTCCCACAGCTTCACCCTCTCACACAGACTAAGGGACTTCAACAGGTACTCATCCTGAAACACACAGCACTCAGAAATATTACAGCTATATGGCTGGGGTCTGTAAATACTTGAGACTGGACCAGAAAATCCAGTGATTGACATCATGAGCACCGATCCACGCAATTGGGATATGATGATATCAGAGCTCCAGATAAGCTTTTGGTGTTGTGGGTATTTTACCCATGCATTTTAAAATCATTGGGTATCAGTAATTCTATCTGGGTATTCAAATTTCTGTTACCCACTAGTTTTTACACATGTGGGTATTTAAGTTAAATATTTAAAAACACTATTCATCTAGTCCCTGCAAACTGGTGTCGTGTGGGTTTGGGAGCTTTATAGGACTCAAAAATACCACGATACTTCCACAAGAAAGTGTGATGGCAAATGATCATGATGTAACTGTCATCGTGGAGTTTGGCAAGGTTGACGGAATGCCCGTTTATAATTTCAAAATAAGTTGCTGATTTGCTAATCGAATACGCAGGTTTACTTCACAATATTTTGATGATACGCACAAGTTTTATTTTTGTCGCGTATCTGTAATGTTTGTTGCGTATTTTATATGCTTGGATTTTATTTTACTGCGTAGTTCTGCATTTCTGATTTGTATTTTACGCAGATACACAGCTTACCTGGAGCTCTATGATATGCATCAACCAAGTCAGACCACCTGATCCTGTTAGTCGCCTCCTACGACAAGCATTGGTACTCCAACCCGCATCTCCACAGGTTTGGTTTAATGAGATACCATGGCCAAGTTCAACATCTACCCCTATGTGCAGAGGTAGATCCCATTGGTCAAATCCCTCTAATCTGCAGCTCATTTTGGACAAGTAGTTCATGTAAAACTAGTCCCTGAACTAGTCTTGGACTAATGGACTGTGGTCCTGTCTATGCCTACCTCAATGCCGAGCATCATGCAGGGTAACAACAAATACCATCTTATGGTATACACAGTCAGAGATCAAATCCCCAACCTCACCATTCAGGCAGATGTTCTCTAAACTAGACCACGGAGAGAGAGAGAGTGCCAAAGAAGATCTAACATTCTGCTAACCAAGAAGAGGGATGAAAATTAGCACTAGCACAGACCAAATTTTGTTAATGTTAAAGGTATTGTTTGGCTTGTAGAATTTCAAACGTTTTGTGTGTCTGTGTGTGTGTATTCCTATATGCTGTCACTATTAAGGCTAGTAGATGTTGTTGATCATAATATTCTGGGTACCGTTCCACAAAGCTATTTTACAATTGTAGCTCTAAGATAATTGTAACTCCCAAACAGACTTACGACAAACGTACCTCCCACACTTTACCATAGAATTACGATACACGCAATATATCTTTGTGACCACTTGTATTATTTGTAAAAGTATAGAGACATACCACACTCTGCTCCACATGGTTGGGGCACATCCACCTGCCTGTGGGGAAGCTGGTGAGGGGTGGGGCGAGACAGTCCAGGTGGAACAGTAGTGGACAATAGTCACACTGGATCAGGGGGGCCACCCGACAGCTCCTGAAACACACAAGCACTTTCACTAACACATATTTAAGCTCCTTGTTTAGGTTGAATTCAACCTCTGACATCAACTACATATAGAAATTACTTACCCAAAACATTGAGTCCTAAACAAAACTTTAAGAATGGATGTAAACATTAGTCCCTATCAGATGCACACAAAACGGCTGTTTGAACCATTACAACTAAATATAGTATACAATTACAAGCCAAATGTAACAATTTTTGTCTGATACAATCAAAGTCTATGAACTTCAGTCAGTTTAGTTTCTCATGAAGGTAAGCCCCATAACAAAAAGAACAGGTTGTAAAAATTAATGAAAATCATTTGAGCCATAGTGGTCAAGCGGCGTCTTTTAATTATACCCAGGACACCCCGTCAAACAAGTTCTTACTGCCAGTCCCAAGATCCACCAAGGTAAATCCCTGACAGAACACTTATATACCCAAACTAGCAAGACTATTTAAGACTTTAAGATGTACAAGAACACATGGATAACAGTCCTTATTCACATACCTGCTACACTGAAAGCAAACTTTAGCTGGTAGTGACACCATGCCATTGTCAAGTTCATGCGGAGCTTTTCGACTTGATCCACGACTCCCAATTTTTCTTTTGCTCGATCCTGCAATAAGTTGTCAAAATGCAAATAAATTTTATAATTATCAACGTTTGAGAGATTATTTAACATGTTTAAAAGCATTCTGGTCGTATCACCTTGAATAATTTCAGAATGAAACAAGTAGATCTTCTCTAGAATATTTTCACATTTTGTCAGGTATATTCACAAGATCCAAATATTTCAAAATTTCTGTGAGAAGGGAAGTAAGGTGAGAAGATGTTACCTGGAAGTGGAATAGTACAAGCAATATCCTTTGTCAGATCAAACTGAATTGGGTTCATGAGACGAGCAGCTTTTGCAAGGGTCTGAAGGGGGTGTTCTGGGACATCCTTTTCTTCTTCTTGAGAATGTTGCCTCTTTGGACGACCTCTGGATCCAGTTGAGGTACTTGGCACCGGATCCTCCTTGCTCTTCAAAATTTAACAGGAGACATTTGTAAAAATTCAGATATGATCAGAACTGTCAGTTGTTTTACTTGATATAACTCACACTGTGTGAGAAAGTAATATAAAGTCACCAATAATAATATGAATAGTTTGGTAATTCATATATGATTTCCATGTTTGTAATTTCAAGTGGTTTTTAATAGAATCCCAGATACATACAGTGATGTATTGTAAAACCTTTGTTCATCCAAATCAACAAATATCTTTCCTTCAAGGAAATGCCAAGTTTTTTTCAAAACTGTCTAATTTTTTTGTAATAAGTTGGAGAGTGTGACATTAAACCATACAACCAACTAGTAGATGAGTTGTATGAACACATACCTGATTATCAGCAATCCGGCACCTATGACATATCCATTCCCCTGGAGGTAGATCATCTTCCTCTAATGGTGGATCACTAGAAGATTCAGAAAGTTATTTAAAGAGGGGTCAGGATATTATAGGAAGAGATACCAAATTATCTTTCTTATATGGATGTTAAAGTTAAGCACTATTAACTTTATAACCTCATACACAAAACTCTGATTAGAGCATTTTATTTCTTACTTGAGTTACTAAACAATAAGCCTAACCAAAAGATATAAACATACCTCATTCCAACACAACAAACTTGACTTACGTTCAACAAACACAACTCTTTCACCTCTCAGTTTAAAACAAGGTACTACTCAATTGAAAAACTTGTTTCATCTGCATACAAGACACAGTCCATTAGCAACAACACCTTAATACTGACAGATAACAATAACAGCCTCCTTGAAAAAATCTAGGAAACATTTCATAAACACAACATAGGAACAAAATTATGCAATTACAACTGGGTGAAAGTTATCTTTAATACACCCCTCTTTGGACATAAGAAGAAGACAGACATTAACCCTGACACTACGTTGCTTTTCATAATGGCGCCCTTGTAAAAATGTGCTGGCAAACAAAGTCAGCCATCTTGGATTTCTTGAGGAGAAAACTGAAGAAAGCATTCGGATAAATTGATGTCCAGAGGAAACACTGTCAGGAGTGCAACATCTTCGTCAGTCATTCAAACATTTAAGCTACTTATCACACTACTCACTGGCATTGTAAGTGAAAAGCTGCCGGACAACGATCGCAACAGAGAAGATCGCCACCTTCCTTGCAGCTGTCACAACAGTCATGGTTGACGGAACGGCCGTGTCTTCTATGTTCACGGTCTCTTCTCCTCATTCGTCTTGCATATTCTTCACTGACAGGCGGTGCAACGAGCTTCTGGATTTGCTGCAAAAATGAAAACATAACGTTAGCACCATGATATATGCCAACATTTGAGAAAAGCAGCAAGTTAGTATATGTCAAACACGAAGAAAATGCCTTTTCGTTTGCCGAGCAGTTGTAAATTTTCATCAAATTCACTCGTTTACGCTAAGAAACTAACGACTCTACGTACCTCCATGAGTCCGCCAGACGTATCCAAATCATATTCAACAGTAGCCATCCTGATTTGTTTGTAGATTAGCCCATGCACGTCAAAATAATTCTTCAAAATACTGCTGTCACAAGTCGAAATCCATTCTCTCTTTTCGCCTACATCACCTTCGTCCGGATCACCCACTTCAGAGCAAACTTGCACTTGAACTGGGACTGATAGGACCAGTTCCTTTACATCACTCAATTAGAAATTCACCGTGTTTTGCATTTTAGTCACTTGCGAGTTAATTATGACTCACAGTTATAAAATATAACAGTTTTAGTGGTTGCAGTATATGACAAACCCAGAAAGTTGGCGCAAAATGTCCGACATTGCCTTTGCGCATGTGTACATCCGGGAAATCTTAGTCAAACGCATGCGCAAATCCCATATTATTTTCTAAAGCGGAAGTGGCTAAGGTGAAGGTCGATGTTATTTGACATGGCGGGAAAAGGGCTTACAGGTCTAAATTCGCAGTATCTGCTGAGAAAAGTTGTTTTACATATTTTAATGTATTGTTAGTGTCAATTCCCTTGATGCTATTAATGTTTAAACAATAAATGTGAGGAAATAAACCTGAGGCATTTCATGTTTCTGTTCTTACGCTGATACTTTTCTGAGCTTTTTACAAGGATAAGTGTAGATCTATGTGTATGTACTGAATTGACGACACGAAAGAGCATTATACATTACAAATATATCAAACTAATTTCGTACGCGAGAAGGAAAGACAGACATCATCTCTTTTCATCCGCGTGTCAGTCATTTCAGGGATCGCTGCTCATGTTAACTTACTTGTGGGTGGGTGGGTGGGGGTGGGGGGTGGGGGGGGGGGGGGGGGGGCGTCTTGGTTTTGGGTGTTGTTTTGTTTTACTCTTCAACAGTCATCATCATTCAGACGACGTTTCAGCTTTCTGAGCTTTGTCATCATGAGAGTGCGTGAGTTGGGTTTAACGCGGCTGTTAACAGTATTCTATTTATATAACAGCGTGTCGGCTTAATGTGGGAGGAAGGCCCGAAGTGATGCAGGTCTCAGACGTTTACAACTTTGGTGAAACCCAAGAGCAGGGTATGGTGCTGACAAACCTAGAAACATGATCTGGGCGAACCGGGTTTTCGAACCCACAATCACAGGTTTCTGGCGTGCCAAAGCCAGTGAGAGATCAATTAATTGTATATATGGCGGAAATGGAATCGAACGTCTTGAACAATGTGTGATGTCATCGTTGGTGTGAATAAGCACACTATGAAACCAATGACTTATTGGACCAATGGTGTCTGAGGAGATGATTATGTGCAAAATGTAAAATATCACGAAAAATTCCTAACTGAACATATGCCAAATTTAATTACATTTTGTGTTCAAATATCACAGATACGTTTTTCAATATGGCGGCGCTAGAGGCCATATTTAAAATTGAATTTGAACTTCTCGACCAAATTTTGGGGTAATTGGTGGCAACATGCATGCCGAATTGAGGAAATCAGAATCAGTGCAGTTGTTTTGTAGATAGCGACGGATGACGGACAAGCAGGCCATGACATAAACTCACTCAGCTTTCACCTGTTGGAAGACCGCCTCCGTGGTCTAGTGGCAGATCGTCCGCCCGGAGAGCGGAAGGTCCGGGGTTCGATCCCCGGCTGCGTCATACTAAAAGTTGGTACTTGTTGTTACCCTGTTGGGCTTGGCATTAAGGGTTAAAACAAGGACTGGTCGGCTCGGAGTCAGTTTACTGTGTCTGAGTGGAGTATTCATGTTAAACTGCGGCATGGTATCTCAGTGAGCTAGCACTAAAAATTTGCATCAGTCAGGTAAAGTACAAGAAGCCACACTCACACACGTGCATGCACGTCGCTATATAAGTGCAATAATCTTGGACGCGACGTTAAACCCAATTTCACCTCACCTTCACCTGTTGGAATTGGTCTTCAGCAACCCGTGTTTTTCGTTAGAGGTGCCCAACGGAATCGGGTGGTCAGGCTCGCTGACTTGGTTGATGCATGCCATCGTATCCCATTTGCTTAGATCGAAGCTCACGATATCAATCACTGGATTGTCTGGTCCATGCTCGATTATTTACAGACGGCCGTTATATAGCTGTAATATTTCTGAGTGTGGTGTTAAACAACAAACTAGCAAAAACTTGACTTTCAATCGGGTGAGCTAAATATGAGGGTGGGCTTAGTCAAGACTAAACGTTTATATACAGAGTGACAACAATTAAAGGGATTTGCCCACAGAAAAATGTGTTGACCTTCTTGTGTTTAAATGTGATTTATATTTCGGCCTTGCAGAGTCTATATTGCTAGCCCACTGAGTTATCTGGCCGCAGTTTAACATGAATACCCCTCTCGGACACAGTATCGTGACTCCGAGCCGACCAGTCCTTGTTTTAGCCCCTTAATGCCGAGCGCCAGGCAGGGAAACAACAAGTACCATCTTTTAACGCCTTTTGGTATGACGCAGCCGGGGATCTAGTCCCCGACCTTCGCTCTCCGGGGGACGCTCTACCACTAGACCACGGAGGCGGTCTTGAGAGTATTGGATATGATGCACACGGATCTTCAAGTCTGTAACCAAGTCCTGTGCACGGGCATCCTCAAACATCGCATACATAAGCTTTTTTTTAAATTCACGTTGTTCACACAGTTTTCATCGAATATTATCGACCGCTGGTGCAAATGATAATAAACATAATTGGGGGCACGGGTGGCCCAGTCGTCTAAGGCGCCGCAATTCGCTGTGCAGAGTTGCGTCCCTTGGGCACGCCAGAAACCTATGATTGTGGGTTCGAATCCTGGTTCGCCCCAATTATGTTTCTAGGTTTGTCAGCACCATACCCGTGCTCGTGGGTTTCACCGAAGTGGTAAACGTCTGAGACCTGCATCACTTCGGGCTTTCCTCCCACATTAAGCTGACGCCGTGATATGACTGGAATACTGTTAAAAGCGGCGTTAAACCCAACTCACTCACTCACCATAAACATAATTACTTTTTTAAAGAGGTTTCTTAAAAGAATTGGGAGTTGGGTGAAATATATAAAACATAACAGACTTGTTTTAATGACTGAAACCAGAAAACGGAAAACAATACTCCACGTTTGTGAAATCTTGGGTCGCGGATCCGTAAACAGCTGACGTATAAGACTCTCTGAGTCGGGTGGTCAGGCTCGGTGACTTTGTTGATGGCCTGGGTCGTCGCTCATAATATCAATCACTGGTATGTCTGGTCCAGTCACGATTATTTGTCATCCACTGTCATACATAGCCGAGATATTTCTCACTGCGGCGTAAAATATCGGACAAAACAGGTATTTTTCAAACGGGGAGCCCTGTGAACAGACTGACACGTTTCTGTATTCTGTCATCTATACTCGACTGTGTCATTGCTCTCGGACGGCGGCAGGTGACGAGACGCTCTGGGTCAACGCACTACCTCTAGACACATAGTATACTTGAAGTCGACCTTTTTACTATCAGGTCGACAGCGGCAACGTTTTGATGTATGTGTTTGTTTTCTCACGAAATCGTTGTTTCAACATGTTAGTGAGATCGACCCAGAGAACACTGCTATGTTATCGGAAGACTGGAGACAGCCTCCCTGTTATATAGTAACAGTTTGGGGGATATTTTTTAGTTAAGACTGAGTTACATGAAAATATCACCACCACGTTCATAATCCATTTTGTCCAGTACATGTTAGGAAAACTCGAGGCATTACCCCCGGTATAGGTAGAACAGAGGGAATTCTCCCTGATATCTTTTAAGTAAAGTGGGGCCTGTTTCGCTGGCATATCTTAGGTAAACTGGAGGCAGCCTCCCTGGTATATTTTAGGTAAACTGGAGGCTGCCTCCTTGGTATATTTTAGGTAAACTGGAGGCAGCCTCCCTGGTATATTTTAGGTAAACTGGAGGCTGCCTCCCTGGTATATTTTAGGTAAACTGGATGGTAGCCTCCCTGGTATATTTTAGGTAAACTGGAGGCTGCCTCCCTGGTAAATTATAGGTAAACTGGAGGCAGTCTACCTGGTATATATGAGGTAAACTGGAGACAGCCTCCCTGGTATATTTTCGGTAAACTGGAGGCTGCATCCCTTGTATATTTAGGAAAACTAGAGGCAGTCTCCCTTGGTATATATTAGGTAAACTGTAAGCAGCCTCCCTGGTATAATTAGAAAAACTGGAGGCTGACTCCCTGGTTTATTTTAGGTAAATTGGAGGCAGTCTACCTGGTATATATATGGTAAACCGTAGGCAGTCTACCTGGTATATTTTAGGTAAAGTGGAGGCAGCACCCCTGTTATATTTTAGGTAAACCGGAGGCAGTCTACCTGGTATATATTAGGTAAACCGTAGGCAGTCTACCTGGTATATTTTAGGTAAAGTGGAGGCAGCACCCCTGTTATATTTTAGGTAAACCGGAGGCAGTCTACCTGGTATTTCTTAGGTAAACCGGAGGCAGTCTACCTGATATATTTTAGGTAAACTGGAGGCAGTCTCCCTGGTATATTTTAGGCAAACAGGAGGCAGTCTCCCTGGTATCTTTAAGGTAAACTGGAGGCAGCCTCCCTGGCATATTTTACGTAAACTGGAGGCTGCCTCCCTGGTATATTTTAGGTAAACTGGAGGCAGCCTCCCCGGTATATTTTAGGCAAACTGGAGGCTGCCTCCCCGGTATATTTTCGGTAAACTGGAGGCAGCCTCCCCGGTATATTTTAGGCAAACTGGAGGCAGTCTACCGGGTATATTTTCGGTAAACTGGAGGCAGTCTCCCTAGTATATTTTAGGTAAAGTGAAGGCAGCACCCCAGGTATATTTTAGGCAAACTGGAGGCTGCCTCCCTGGTATATTTTAGGTAAACTGGAGGCAGCACCCCTGGTATATTTTAGGCAAACTGGAGGCTGCCTCCCTGGTATATTTGAGGTAAACTGGAGGCAGTCTCCCTGGTATATTTTAGGCAAACTGGAGGCAGTCTACCGGGTATATTTTCGGTAAACTGGAGGCAGTCTCCCTAGTATATTTTAGGTAAAGTGAAGGCAGCACCCCAGGTATATTTTAGGTAAAGTGGAGGCAGCACCCCAGGTATATTTTAGGCAAACTGGAGGCTGCCTCCCTGGTATATTTTAGGCAAACTGGAGGCAGTCTCTCTGGTATATTTTAGGTAAAGTGAAGGCAGCACCCCAGGTATATTTTAGGTAAAGTGGAGGCAGCACCCCAGGTATATTTTAGGCAAACTGGAGGCTGCCTCCCTGGTATATTTTAGGTAAACCGGACGCAGCCTCCCTGGTATATTTGAGGTAAACTGGAGACCATCTCCCTGGTATATTTTAGGTAAATTGGAGGCTGCCTCCCTTGTATATTTAGGAAAACTGGAGGCAGCCTCCCTGGTATAATTAGGAAACCTGGAGGCAGCCTCCCTTGTATAATTAAGGTAAAGTGGAGGCAGCACCCCTGGTTTTTTTCCCGGCTAAATGGAGGCAGTCTCCCTGGTAAATTATAGGTAAACTGGAGGCAGTTTACCTGGTATATATGAGGTAAACTGGAGACAGCCTCCCTGGTATATTTTCGGTAAACTCGAGGCTGCATCCCTGGTATATTTAGGAAAACTGGAGGTAGCCTCCCTAGTATAATTAGGAAAATTGGAGGCAGCCTCCCTGGTATAATTAGGAAAACTTGAGGCAGCCTCCCTGGTATAATTAGGAAAACAGGAGGCAGCCTCCCTTGTATATAAGTAAGGTAAACTGGAGGCAGCCTCCCTGGTTAGTTTTAGGTAAACCTGAGGCAGTCTACCTGGTATATTTTAGGTAAAGTTGGGCCAGCCTCCCTTGTATATTTAGGAAAACTAGAGGCAGTCTCCCTTGGTATATATTAGGTAAACTGTAATCAGCCTCCCTGGTATAATTAGAAAAACTGGAGGCTGACTCCCTGGTATATTTTAGGTAAACTGGTGGCAGTCTACCTGGTATATTTTAGGTAAACCGTAGGCAGTCTACCTGGTAAATTTTAGGTAAAGTGGAGGTAGCACCCCTGGTATATTTTAGGTAAAGTGGAGGCAGCACCCCTGTTATATTTTAGGTAAACCGGAGGCAGTCTACCTGGTATTTTTTAGGTAAACCGGAGGCAGCCCTCCTGGTATATTTTAGGTAAATTGGAGGCAGCACCCCTGGTATATTTTAGGTAAACTGGAGGCAGCACCCCTGGTATATTTAGGAAAACTGGAGGCAGTCTCCCTGGTATATTTTCGGTAAACTGGAGGCTGCATCCCTGGTATATTTTAGGTAAATTGGAGGCAGCCTCCCTGGTATATTTTTGGTAAACCGGAGGCAGCACCCCTGGTATATTTTCGGTAAACTGGAGGCAGCCTCCCTGGTATATTTTCGGTAAACTGGAGGCTGCATCCCTGGTATATTTAGGAAAACTGGAGGTAGCCTCCCTAGTATAATTAGGAAAATTTCAGGCAGCCTCCCTGGTATAATTAGGAAAATTTGAGGCAGCCTCCCTGATATAATTAGGAAAACTGGAGGCAGCCTCCCTTGTATAAGTAAGGTAAACTTGAGGCAGCCTCCCTGGTTAGTTTTAGGTAAACCTGAGGCAGTCTACCTGGTATATTTTAGGTAAAGTTGGGCCAGCCTCCCTGGTATATTTAGGAAAACTAGAGGCTGCCTCCCTGGTATATTTTAGGTAAAGTGGAGGCAGCCTCCCTTGTATATTTAGGAAAACTAGAGGCAGTCTCCCCTGGTATATATTAGGTAAACTGTAAGCAGCCTCCCTGGTATATTTAGGAAAACTAGAGGCAGTCTCCCCTGGTATATTTAGGAAAACTGGAGGTAGCCTCTGTGGTATATTTTACGTAAAACCCGAGGCATCACAGATGTTTTCAGGGCTAAACCAGACATTTTAATTCACAACATATATGGGTCACAGTCAATTCATCAATTCAAAGTATGACAAGCATCTGAAATTTTAATACTGTACAATCAACAAAGTACAACTGCATTTGGCAAGCATTGACAAGGCTCAGCTGTAAACTGAAATAAATGATCAGCATTAACAGAACACAACAAAAACACCATTGTTAAATTCACAAACAAGAATGATTTAGACATTTTGTAAATTATATTTCTACAATCTTTCATAGGCCTAGATTACATGAAAGCACACTTCAAATAGCTACAGATTCTCAACTATCAGCTATTTAAAACAAACATGATTGAAATGAGATAAATATATATTCAAGCTTGGATAGAGATTTATTAAGATGTGTGTTTATGTTGTTTAAAGCCACACTCAGAAATATTCAAGCTATATATGACAGCGGCCAGTAAATTTACATTTTTGGACCAGTCCCTCCAGTGATTGATATTATGAGCAACGATCCACGCCATCGGGGTACGATGACACACCATCAAATAAGTCACAGAGCATGATTACCCGATCCATTAAGTCGCCTCTTATGACCAGCATAGGTCCTCAGATCTCCTACACATATTTACGCCTACTCATATGATCACAGATACACATTGTTCTTCACCAATCAATGTATTAAATTGTTTGATAGGCATTACTTAGAAGTTGACGGATGACAAGGTAGACACAATTTTTATGGATAACAACTTCTTTAATACTGAAAAAGCGACGTTTTGGTATAGATCCTTGTCAAGAAAGACTGAATGAGGGACTTAGTACAGAATATATATAGTTGAGGATTACCAGTAACAACAATTGCATATATGAATGGGATAACATAGGCAAGGTGTTGACAACAAGGGGATAATACTGTCACAACGCGATGGACAAAGAACACATAGGTGGAAGCCAATGGGACATGAAGCCAATTAAACAGGATAAGTGATTATTGCTTGATGAGTTCATAGTAGGCGGATGGGATGAAATAGCCTTGATCTCTGTTGATTGATGGCGTGTGGGCGAATGTGGATTGCTTGTGTTAGTTTTCCTTTAGTGAAATCATGGAGGTTGTTGGAGAGGATTTTGACATTGTCCCAGTTATAGGGACTGTATTGTTTCCCTGATCTACACTAGTCATTACACAAAGATTGTAGAAAGGGGCCCATTTAAGGATACTTTAAGATAGTAACTGTTTACAGCTTGGTTATCAGTCTATATTCTAGAAAGGGGCCCTTTTAAGGATACTTTAAGATAGTAACTGTTTACAGCTTGGTGATGAGTCTATATTCTAGAAAGGGGCCCATTTAAGGATACTTTAGGATAGTAACTGTTTACAGCTTGGTGATGAGTCTATATTCTAGAAAGGGGCCCATTTAAGGATACTTTATGATAGTAACTGTTTACAGCTTGGTGATGAGTCTATATTCTAGAAAGGGGCTCATTTAAGGATACTTTAAGATAGTTACTGTTTAGAGCTTGGTGATGAGTCTATATTCTAGAAAGGGGCCCATTTAAGGATACCTTAGGATAGTAACTGTTTACAGCTTGGTGATGAGTCTATATTCTAGAAAGGGGCCCATTTAAGGACACTTTAGGATAGTAAATGTTTACAGCTTGGTGATGAGTCTTTATTCTAGAAAGGGGCCCATTTAAGGATACTTTAGGATAGTAACTGTTTACAGCTTGGTGATGAGTCTATATTCTAGAAAGGGGCCCATTTAAGGATACTTTATGATAGTAACTGTTTACAGCTTGGTTATCAGTCTATATTCTAGAAAGGGGCCCATTTAAGGATACTTTAGGATAGTAACTGTTTACAGCTTGGTTATCAGTCTATATTCTAGAAAGGGGCCCATTTAAGGATACTTTAAGATAGTAACTGTTTACAGCTTGGTTATCAGTCTATATTCTTCAACCACATTTGCAGGGCATCACTGATCCTGTACACTGATGGTGACTCCCATTGCGGTACGTAGTTTCTCCAGTCTGGTGATGTTGAACTTGTGTCCATAAAATGGAAACCAGAAGAGGGCCTGCAAGAATCAACAGTGTCATTTGTTACAGACTCCATCACATTAACATCCTATTCCTTTTAATTCAAATGTGACATTTTTGTTGAAACGAATACAAATCCCTCTTCAAATACTAGTGAGGGAGTGAGTTGTGTTTAACACCACTTTAAAGAATATTCCGGGTATATCATGGCTGTCAGTTTGACGAGGGGGGAAACCCTGAAGTGATGCAGGTCCCATTATGTGCAGCGATCTACGCAATTGGGAGATGATGACATGCACCTGACCACCGGATCCCGTTAGTCGCCTCTTACGACAAGCATAGTTGCCTTTTACATCCATTTCTGATGGAAGGGTGGGGGGAAAGGAGCTACGATTTTGCCACACACAAAATCACTGGAGATGCCAGTTATCCTGAACAAAAATTGTGTTTTTAAAAAGACTGTTCAGTTCCTCCTTTCAGAGAAGAAACGGGCCTGATTTGAAGTAGCGACAAAAATCGCCATCTTTTCCCCTTAAATGTTCAATGATCTGTCCCTAATGTACAAACACAGTTAATGGATCCATCAATAATGGATTCATCTTGTTTCTCTGTTGTCAAGGTTATGTGTAAGTCAACAGTAAATACGTACAACATTTATGAAGCAGGCAAATGGAATAGACAAGGGAAGCAACCCACTGGAAAATGAGACCACCTGAAAAATACAAATCATTTAACAGTTGAAGTTTATTTAGGCAGTAGTAAGGCAGCAAACAGTTTATTTTCAAGAACAGGGCCGTGATTTTGGAGTGAGATGAGAAATTTTTTCCCAATAATTACGAGCTCAATCATTTTTTCCAACCAACTGGTGCTTATTTGTTTTGAAAAATAAATACAAATAACAAACTGTATTCTTTTGACACTTGTCTGGGAATAATTTCTTCTTCTTTTTGAAAAAATGGGGTGTGGGTGTGGTGTGTGAGTGTGGGTGTGGGTGTGGGTGTGGATTTAGGTGTGGGTGTGAGGTGGTGGGGTGTGGGTGTGAGGGTGTGGGGTGTGTGAGTGTGGGTGTGGATTTAGGTGTGGATGTTGTTGTGTGTGTGAGGGGGTGTGGGGTGTGTGTGAGGGGGTGGGGTGTGAGGGTTTGGGGTGTGTGAGTGTGGGTGTGGATTTAGGTGTGGATGTGGATGTGGGTGTGTGTTTGAGGGGGGTGGGGTGTGTGTGTGTGAGGGGGTGTGGTGTGAGGGGGTGGGGTGTGTGGCTGTTGGTGTGGATGTGGGTGTGAGGGGGTGGGGTGTGAGGGGGTGGGGTGTGTGGGTGTGGGTGTGGATGTGGGTGTGAGGGGGTGGAGTGTGCAGGTTTGTGCAGCATGTTGTGCTTGACCCCGAAACTGTGTTTTAGGACCCTGATTCTCACAAGCACTGCAAAATTAAAATTCCTGACATGATAATAATTATTTTTCTTTCACCATGTTCTTCCTTTGAAAAGAATATTTTTGTGATTTTAACATTCTGGTGTCTTACCTCTGCATGATTGTCAACTAGTTTGATTTCAACAATGTCAAGCCATTCTGCCCAGGTAAATGCAAATATTCTTACAAAGTTCTTCTCAATCTGAAATGAGACATGTTATGAACGATTAAACAAGAGAAAGAGAGAGAGAGAATAATGTTTATTATAGTGTCCCATGTTATATACACTTCATACTAAAACACATACATAAACAATAAAATATAACAGCCTACGAGACACCAGACATAAAATCATAAGTATAGTGTCATGATCCGGATAAGATAAATTAAGACATATACCAACAAAATGTTTAAATTTAAGATTAAGTTATGAAATTTGTTGAACACACCCACCCACACCCACACCCACACCCACACCCACACCACACCACACCACACCACACCACACCACACCACACCACACCACACCACACCACACCACACCACACATACATTATAATTATACACACATCCACTCTGATGACAAGTGTCTGCAAGACTTCTGATATGGAAAGCAAATAGCAGCCTGCTTTCCTTTACTTTGATTTCAGTAATTAAAAGAATTCAAGCAGAATTCAACATCAATGTTGGCCTGTTTCTTTAAGAGTTTCGGGATTTTATGGCTAACTGTTCCAAAGTAGGGGAGGCTGATCACAAAGGGTGCAGACTGTTGACAGGGAGATTTCTGAGATTTCTTGGTGATGTTCTGTATCGTCTGTTGTACTAGTTGCTCAGGGTAGAGGTTATACTGTGTAAATACTTGTTTGAGGTGGCTGAGTTCAGTGGTTGGATGTTGCTTTGTATAACAGATGTTGTGAGCTCGTCTCGCTATTAATTGTAATAAAGAAGTTGTTCATCCATAAATTCTTATCCTTACTAAGTACTCCAACTTCTAAATGCCTATCAAAGAAGAAACTTTTATTATTAGTTGTTTTAAGGATTTGTTCCCCTTTAACAGTTTGGCTGGGAGAAAGAAAAGAATTCTGACATGACCCTTTTTCTAAGTTCTGACATGATATGCATTTGGACTTTGCCTTTTAAAACATGACAATGGAACATATTTGTTTAAACTGTGACTGAATAAAAAACATACAACCAGTGTTTAAAATACCGCCTGCCCGACATTCCGAGACCGTCTTTTTTGCTGACGGACGGTCAGTTTTAAAAAGTTTTAAAAAGTTGCATGCCCAATGGTCGGAAGTTTAAGTTACCAAGTTGACAATCCACCAGTTTAGTGTTATTTTCTGAGAACTAGCATTAACAAGTACAATTCTTATGTTCAAACTTTTGTTTGCTAGTATAGAAAATTCTGAACGGACAACATTTTATCTGGGTTAGTAACTTTGCAATGTTGCCAGTCCGGTTATCTAACTAAAATTTTAGAGAATTTTATACACTCATACAACACATTTTAAAATACAAGGTGTGAGAAACGAATGTTTTGATGGCCAAGACGTTTTGTTACTGTGATCGTAGAATTCAGAAAAATCTTTTTTATTCTTTTATTTCTTTATTTGGGTCGACGGTGATAAAATATTTTTGAAAAATGTTAAATATTTCTTTTCCCATTTTCACAGTATTTGGGTTGGCAGATCTGTAAACCAACTAAAAAAAGTTTTTGACATGGTTTGACTTGTTTGGGTGGGCACCTTGTGTACATCATAGAACGTTCCCAGTTGGTCCTCCTGTATCATGGTGGCAAGGCCTGTCTTCACTGTCTCCACAAAGTCCATGGCAGACTGGTCTATCCTCCATCTGCAAAACAAACATGGTCAAGTATATGGGCACTCTAAGGACATGTGATACACAGAATATTCATTCTCAGGACATGTGACACACAGAATATTTATTCTCAGGACATGTGACACACAGAATATTCATTCTCATGACATGTGACACACTGAATATTCATTCTCATGACATGTAACACACAGTATATTCACTCTCAGGACAATGAGACACACAGTATATTCATTCTCAGGACATGTAACACACAGTATATTCATTCTCAGGACATGTGACACAGTATATTCACTCTCAGGACATGAGACACATATTATATGCACTCTAAGGACATGTGACACACAGTAAGGCACTCTGTGGACATAGAAGAAGAGTGAGTTAGTCATAAATTTACATCGCATCGGCAATATTGCAGCCATATCGCGAGTGTCTCAAAATTAAAGTGGAAAAATGGAACCCTACATGTGCACAGATTGTTATCTTTCATTCTGAGTGAGTACATCAATAATTATTTACCGCCTCCGTGGTCTAGTGGTAGAGCGTCCGCCCGGAGAGCGGAAGGTCCGGGGTTCGATCCCCGGCCGCGTCATACCAAAAGACGTTAAAAGATGGTTCTTGTTGTTACTCTGCCTGGCGCTCGGCATTAAGGGGCTAAAACAACGACTGGTCAGCTCGGAGTCAGTATACTATGTCTGAGTGGGGTATTCATGTTAAACTGCGTCATGGTATCTCAGTGTGCTAGCACTATAAATCGGCATCAGTCCGGACTAGTACAAGCAGCCACACACACACACGTGCATGCACGTCGCTATATAAGTGCAATATTTTTGGACGCGACGTTAAACCCAATTTCACCTCAACTCACATCAATAATTATAATTATCAATCAAATTTTACTACCTGTTCAGAATATGAGTAACTTGGTCATGATACTCAAAATGTATCTGTAATGATGCAACTTTCTGTATATTTATACACATAATAATGTATGCATTGTACCTCAATCTGTGTCTAAAACAAGTGGTATGCAGCCTGTGTCTAGTCAGGTTTATATAGTCTATTAAGTGCAGCCAATAATCGTTCATGTGTACTGAAAAATTCCAAAGAACAAAGTGTGGATTTTGAAGTCATCTTCTATTCTATCTTCAATATAGACCAACAGGTACGTTACAAACAAACCCTTGATATATTTAATCAGATCCGAAGATTGGAATGAATTAACTTTCAGCTGTAAAAAGTGTTTTCCTGAGCATGACACACAACAAGCCAAGTCAATTGTTGGTGACATTGTCCCTTATTTTAATCACAACGGAACAGCTTCATTTGACAGTATTGCTGTTTTTAGCTTCGGGTCAGTCAACTGGACTAAAAATGAAGCTAAGGTGGCAAAAGGGTCTAGGTATCATCTTCCCGAGGCAAGAGAGTTAACTGACTTTAAAAGTCCAGTTTCCACCCTTGCCGAACTAGGCTGGAATTACTGGGCTCGATCGTAGCGCCACCAGTTGCTCTTACCATTTATGTCCCTTCTAAGCCTCTCCTAAGGACCAAACAGATTCCACCTCTCGTATCACTTGTGTTTGCTTCACCCAAAATGGTGGCGCCCAGTCAGGATGATCTGATCGATAATCAAGATCTATATTGTGATAAAACGGGTCTTACATCGTGAAATGCATCAAATCACGTGAGCACCTTGATTAAAAACATGAACAGATTTGGAAAATAACTGTTGACAACGAGTTGGTGGTGCACATGCTTTGCAAATCCTGCTATCGACTGAAATCTGCACGACAGTTTACGAACCGGATTTTGATTTCGGTGCGCGATAATGATTGGACTATGCATAGACTCGTAACTCCATAATACCAGCCTAGTTCGGCAAGGGTGGAAACTGGACTTTTATAGTCAGTTAACTCTCTTGCCTCGGGAAGATGTCTAGGTATATATCATAATAGATTTGAGATATGATACACTGGATAATTAAGGATTGAGATATGGATACAGCCGTTTTCTGTGTCGATATTAATTATCCCATGGGGTAAATATTAAGGTATACATTGTAGTTGTATTAAGTAGAGTGTAAGATGTGGCTACTTCTCTCGGTGGACGTGAAGGCTCTTGAGCCCAGGGACCCACATGGAGGGCCGGAGAGCACACTGTATCGGAGCCTGGACACTACTGCACAGCGTCAGGATCACCATGGCGACACGGGTTCTAATATACAAATATTCGTAACATTAATGATGCTGGAACTATTACTTCACAATAAGAGCCAGCAAGAATTAAATGTGTAAAAGCATTTAAATCTTATGAGAATTAGGATTCTGTTTTATTTTCAAGTTTGTAATTACACATGTGGCAGGAGTAATTTCACTACTGACCAAAACACACAATGCAATCCCAAGTTCAAATATGCAACTGACCTAGAAAACACCCACTGATAAAGAACCTCACCAAATTAAAGAGTTATGTCCCTTTCATAAAATGCGTTGTACTGAAAGCTGTTGAAATATACACAAGTTTTACCACATTTGTTGCCTATCAACATGATTTAAGACAGTCATCCAAAATGTCCTAGAGATATTTTTCAGAAGTGGTAATGGCATAGAAAAGTTGATAAAACAATAAAAAGTCATTTATCTCTAGAAAAACCATCATAACATGACAAATTCTGAATAGCTGCTGGAATGCATATAAAGAGGGGCAAAAGCTTCCATTAGGGCTGGGACAGGTAACTCAGGTACCCGGGTCCTACTCAGTACCCACCCAACCCGGGTACCCGAGTTACCCATCCCAGGACTACCCGGACCCGTGGTTAGTCACATGATATATTGTTTAATGACAAAAATTATCTAAAACTATGGTTACACTACAAGTCACTAATGTTTGCATTTCTTTCTGACTATGCATCCATTCCTTCTGATTTTTCATATGGTTGAATAAAGATAAAACTTAATTTAACTTCAGTGTATGAATGACCAGATTGTTTAATATGTGTATCTAAATACGTTTTGCCAGGGCTATGCTAAAAATGTTCCCAATTGGACATTTGAGACATCTCCTGAGACCTACAGTGGGTACCCGGGTAGGGTCGGGTAATAGGGGGGTGGGTACCCGGGTAGTAAATTTGGACTCGTCCCTGCCCTAGCTTCCATGTGAAATTGATGAAGGAAAGAAGTGTTTTTCAACAGATTGAGGAAAACTGCATTCCTAGGATGTCAAGCAACACCAGGAATGCTCTTCAGGTATCCTACTGTAACCCCAGCAATGGTAAACCCCAGTCCTGTTTGGGCCCTGTACCGTGTGTATGGTGCTATACCTCACCAAGATGAAATCAAATTGTAGTATAGTTTAATAATTAGGATAAGGAATCGTTAATAAGTGAAAATCCAAGCCAAATGAAACTGTCAGTCCGCGAGGCCTACATTTGATTGAATTGTCTTTCAGCTTTTCATTGTGCATATTGTACTGGAGTGGATTCGACGAATAGCAGATGACATTCGCACAACAAAGATAACACAATCATATAAAATGTCTATTTTTTATGTTTGAATGAATCAGCAATTTCACTTAGAAAAATTTATCTATTTCTACTCTACATGAGATCATGACGTGAATACCTTTTTTAAGATGTTAAAACGATCGAAAGTGCAACATTGCTACATAAACACCAAGCGCATGATCACTCGGAACATCGTGCATAATCACATTGTCATCGAAAAACTTACAGCTGACAGGATAGGCTTCCCTACGGGAAGGTCTACTTTTGATGAAAGTCCCGATATCTTGGTGTGTCATGTGGTATCTCATATCAAACTTACTATGTGGACATCCCCTGCGTCCTACATTTACCACACAGGCCACGCCCCTTTCGCTAGCAGACAGCTTCCGTGTAAACTGGTTCCCGGGTCTATCTGCGATATGTAGAGACGGAGCCCAGCTTAACAAACAAAGCTAGCAATATACCTTAGTTTTGTATTATTCTAAACATTATTTCACCAATCGCATATTTTGTTGATGATATTTGAAATAATTTAAGTGTTTGTGATTCTTACGAATCATATTTCTGGTCAGTTCGACTCAGTTGTAAACACCTGATTTACTAAAATGTCACATGACCTAAAAGTACTAGCTTTGCATAAAGGTCATGACCTACTGTTTGGTGGATCACAAGACATAATGACGAATATGATCCTTGTTTAGTTTTAAGAAATATGTGCTACTGTGCATACAATCATTGGTAAGTAAGTATTTTTAGTATCATTTCAATCTTGTCTGAATTGCGGGCGAGCGATCGACCTGGCATGAAATCTAGTTTTTGGACATTTTGTATTTGGTGTCGTGATGTGAATCGTGATCCTTCATATCCCGAGTTTCAGGTTGTTTATTCCGTACGTGTCATTATTGACTTATATAAGTTTGTCCGTCACCAGTCCTGTCACCCCCTTCCTAATTTTGTCATTTTCATGAATGTAACAGCAGAAAAAGGAGGCACAAGTTATGGACAACGTCTTTATTTTACTGTAATGACTTGTTAAAAGTGAGTAAGGCCGAATGTGTCACATTTTGTGTCTGGACTGAGTTACAGAGGGTTCATAGACTGGCACTCTCTGAGTAATCATGTATCACTTGTTTGTTATGTTTTTAACGGTTTCAAAATATTTGACTTTCCGATGTGAATAATGTTGTTTTGTAACATCATGCAGTACTGCATACCAATGCCAAATCACAGTAACATGTGACTAATAATAACAACAAACAAACTCACAGACAAAGCCGTCCTTTGGCCTCGTCTGCGAGTTTGTTATTATTATTAAGCTACATGTTCCTGTGGCCAAATACACATGAAAATGATGAATTTTTGCATACAGTTACCTTACCACTGGAATTTGTTTTGTTCTAAGAATACTAAGAACCCTGTTTTCTCCATATTGCAAAGGGTTTGGGACATGTTGCAGACTAGACAAAAATAAAGCAGCATCAGATTGATTTTTTTCATATTTTGCTTTACTATATGTCCTATGCTGCTTTCAATATATAGTTACTGATAAATTATTAAATGCCATTCACTGACGACAGTCGCGGTAAGTTATGTGCATACAGTGACTGACATCAACACTTTTGGACAGTATTAACGTAGTGTTGTAGCCATTATATGTGCATATGTGTCCCAGATAACATAATGACACAGGCTAGGGTGTGAGGTCTGATTATTCATTTTCTGTCGTGATAAACCGACACCCTGGAACAATGAATACAATAATAAACATACAATTATATCTAGTACATCAAAACCAAAGCAGATTAAATAATAATCTACTACACTTATAAGCTATACATGATATATCATTTATAACATTTCACACTTATAAGCTTAGATATGTAAGTTTAATGGATTTACACATTTAATATAAATAAGGTACAATAAATATAATATTATGTTACAATGCAAGCAATATATAAGTATATATATATACCCGGTGAATCCCACTGGGGTGTATTTGGGTGGTCACAATCCCTCGTATATATGACAATTCCCTCGTGAAAATCTGTTCATGATATAAAATACATCATGAAGGTAAGTTTATCTACACACATGAACATAACATGTTAACTATTATCAAATTATTAATACACAATACAAGTTACTGAATACACAAATGTCCTAGATTAACACAGACACACATATAGTGAAATGAATATATCTAGTATACATACACTCACCATGCACACACTAATACTAGTAAATGTGACATGTTTAAATATAATTTAGGATCAATATAGACATTTATTAAACTAAAGTGATTTGCATAATTATACTGGCATAAGATACAATTATAACTTTAACTACTAACCTTTATATAAGTATATCCTTTCTTCCAGTCCAGTGCACAGTGAAGTATTAATGCCAAGTGCAGGGTGAAAACAAAGGGGTTTGAAAGGGGGACACAGAGATTTAAAACTAGCCAATCCAGAGGACGCCTGGGCTTACACTCTGATTGACCACCAAGCAGTTGACTGACCCACTAAGTAAAACATGACATTAGAATAGGGCTTTAATGATAATACTTGACTTACAACTACTTATGTATGCAGCCTGAAATGAGAAATACAATAAATAATTCTTGATTACTGCAATATCTGAAATATACAAAATACCATTATTGACAACATACATAGTAAATTAAAAGCTAATTAATAAAACATGATTAATATATACAGAACTACTATCTACCACACACTTCCCCCCCCCTGGGACTAAATGATGTCCTCATCATTTGCCTGAGATAAGGTGAAGTAGAGTGTCTTGAACTTGTCCAGGATCACTCTTCAGAATACCACTGAGCATCAATGAAGTGAGGTACTCTGCT